ATATGTGAAACCTGGGTGGTGAGCAGTTTTAACTCCAAGTAGTGAGATAAGGTCCTAGATTCCTTCTTCCTTCTAGTAATTCTCCATTGTGGATCTTAAGCCACTGTTTAGCTTTATTAAGCTGTCAAACAGGAAATTATGTGGTTTCTATGGACTCAGCCTAGAAATGGCTCATATCAAATGTAATGATAGGCTATGTACTTAACTGAAAGGAAGGCTGAAAAATGTAATATATTGGTAGCTCTGTGAAAGTTGAAAAACTGAATTTGGTAGGCACTTGTCTGTCACAAATATCTTATCCTCAGTCTAACCTGAAGGGTACTCTAAAGAAAAAGACCTAGGAAGTTTGCTACTGCATTATTGTAAGGGTATTATTAAGAACATTTTCAGTGTAATTCTAAATTCTTTCATATGATTTATATTATCATGATTGCCAAGGAAAGCTTTATTTTTCTTGACTTCCTGGTATACTTTTTTTTTTTAATAGGGGCAATATCTTTCATTTACTGTTTTGATTATCAGGAAGTTTATGGACACATTTGTGTTAAAAGTACAGTACTATGTGGAATCCTGTGTATGGCAGTATTGTTTTTCATGTACTTGATTTTCCCGTCAATTTCTTGCTTTTGTCCCTGGTTTTCATGAATTTATATTCTTATGCCTTATCAGATATGTTTGTATTTACATTGCACTTGCATGACTCAAGTTGTTTGGTTTATACAATAAAGAGAAATTGTAAGTACTATTTTACTAACATGCCCATTTAAAAATTAATTTATATTCATATTTTTTGGTGTGAATTTTTAAAATTTCAGAACATAACAAGAATCTTTGTTTTGGCACTCAGTTTTTAACATCTGTACCATTTTGCTATACTTGCTTTGAGTCTTTGCTTTTAAGATAAAGTTTCAAAAATACATAAAACTAAAAGTCCCATTTGATGACCTCAAGCCTACGTGGACTGATTCTTTATCCTGTACTTAAAGCTCCTTTGTACTGTCCTCCCAAATAAGACCAATCTGTTCTTTTCATTGTCTGCCTTTGTTACTAGCTTCCTGATCTGGCTTGTTAGCAAGTGCAAATACCTTGGGCTATTATTAGAGGATTAGCAGTGGCCAAATAAGGTGGAACATTGGTTTTTAAAGTGTGATTTTTGAATCAGCAGCATGTCATTACTTGGAAATTTTCTGGAAATGTAGATTCTTAGATCCCTTCCCAGACTTACTGGGTCAGAAATTGTGGGATGAGACCCAACTATCAGTGTCTAGCAGACCTACCAGATATTCTGACAGTAACATTACAGTTTGGAGAACTTGTTAAAACATAGATTGTTGGAGACTGAGGATTTGTATTTCTAACAAAGTCAGAGGTGGTGGTGATGCTGTTTGGTCTGGGTCCAGAGGGAACCAGTGTTTTTTGGTTGCTGTGAAGTCTCTGTGGCCTTTGCTCTTAGAAACTCAGCAAAGGCTTTTGGGCAGGGAGGTGACATGGTATTATGTACATTTTCAGAAGTTCACTCTGGCTGCTGTGCTGAGCACTGAGCTGAAGAGACAAGATTGGGAGCAGGAAGACAAAGTAGGAGGTTGATGGAATAATTCAGTAGGTTACCGTTGCTGACCAATCTGGGTGGTAGTGATAGAATTGGTTGCAGTGGTTTAATGCTAGAGGTACTTTGACTGCAGAACTGACAAAATTTATGATGAGTTTGAAAAGGATAAAGGGAAGGGTCAAGTATAGATCAGGGTTTTTGATTCAGGAAGTGGAAGGTTCGAGTTTCTATTAGGTTAGATGGAACAGGCTGTAGAAGGAATAGATTAGAAGGTAGTTGGGGAAGAGGAAAGGGAAGTGTTTGATATTGAGTTCTTATTGATGGTACTTAAATGGAATGGGGTTGGCTAGGAGCCTAGGATGGAGTCCCAGGCAGGTGGAAGAGGATGGAGAAGAGAGATGATCAAATCACTGGGCCCTCAGCACACCAGTGTTAGGAGGTGGAGGGAGAGGTGGCTGTTTAGGTGCTGGAGGTGTACATGTGGTATTTCACTCATTCATTCTTTCAGCAAGCCTTTATTGAATGAGTGCTATGCACTGCACATTGTTTTAGGTGCTGAGAATATGGTAACGAACACAACAGAGAAAGTCTTTGTCCCTTCACAACTTATGGTCTGGTGATGAGACAATAAGCATAATAAATAAATGAATATTGTCAGGCATTACAGTGCGTCTTGTGAAGAAAGATAAAACAGAGGAAGAGGGTATAAGTGCCTGGGCAATGGAGACTGGTAGGTATGTATTTGTTACTTTTCCATCCTGTAGTATGATACCAGACACCCACCACTTTCATGAGGCGAGGTTTATAATGATCTTGGTTTCAGGAGATTTATTACATGGCCAGCAGACTCAGCAGCAAGAATGTCACAGTGAAAAGGTGGTGGAGCAAAGCTGCTTAGTATATGGTGTCTGTGAAACACAACAGGAATAGTGCCAGAGAGAAGGAGGCCAGGGACCAGACACAGATCCCTACACCACTGTGACTCGTCCAAATACACCCAGAACTGTGCTCTACCAGTCCCCTGGTGGATTCCTAAGCTGTTCAGGTTGACACCCCATCCTAACTACCACTGGTATTCAGGGAAGGCCTTGCAGGTGTGGTGACATTTGAAGGGAGAAGTTGGCCATGCAGATGGAGGAAAAGTATCCTGGCAAAAATAACAGAAATTGTCCTGTGCTAGGCTGTACTTGATTTGGGTATGGGTGGAGGAGAAAAAGAGGTCTGGGTTTTTGAATAGTGCAACTCCTCTAACATAGAGAACTTGAAGAAAGGAAGCAGCAGAGCATGAGAGGCATCCAGTGCAATAGGCAGGTGCAGAAAATATACCAGGACAGAGGGAGAGGTGAACTGTCGAAGGCTGTTGATAAATAGATCAGAGGAGGTAAGGCCTACATTAGTGTCCTTGATAAGAATGGTTGCAGTCAAGTGGTAGTGAGACAGAAAAGGACTACCTTGAGACCCCCTTCCCAGTTCTCCAACACTTGCACCTGCCCCAGTTTCCTGTAACTAAAACCAAGTGATGCATCCGGAACCCCACCCCACAGATGTTTTACTCTTGCCTTGTTCTACATGGTAACTACAGTATTCCAACAGCATCAGCTTCCATAAAATTCTACTCATTTGGCTGGAATCCTGCCCAACTGAAACAAAGTTACAAAACTCCTGTTTCTCCAAAGCTTGGGGTTCAGAGTTGGGAGTACTTAACTCCTCTGGGATGGCCAGTTTAATGAGGCTTGGCTCCTTCTACTTCTCCAGAGTGCTGCTCATGTTTTTTGAGCCACTGGTAACGTAAGCTTTGCTATAACAGTGGGAGTGGAACTGTAATAGGCATAGGTTCCAGAGAGAGTAGAGGAATTGGGAACAAATCTATAGAGGGATTTTATTGTGAAGGTGAGCACAGAATTGGGGGTAGTAAGCACAGGAGATGATGGACAGTATTTTCTTTACAATGGAAGAGGTGATAGTACTTTTTCTGTGTGAGAAACACTGGTGATGCAGAAAAGTGAGGAGAAAAAATACTGGGAGATGGGGGCTTAATGAGCAGGTGCAATTTATTAATTTCAATGAGAGATAAGGGAAAGTAGTATGTGAGAACTGAGGGTGCCAGATGGAGTCGAGGCATCTCCTGCATTACTCCTGTTTCCTCTATGAAATAGGTAGTGAGGTCTTTAGATCCAGATGAAGATGGAGGAGGAAGTTTTGAACGTTTGTGGAGAGCGAGGGTTCATAAAAGAACGTTTTTCTCCCTGTAATCAGGAAAAGTCAAGTAGTTACATAGAGAGCTGTTCTGTTTGCAACTATTTGTGCTCTTTATTCCCACATACTTTTTCTCCTTTACTTGAATGCCCTTCTTCCTTATCTCTCCATCTGTTAGACCTCTTCCTTGTCCTTTAAGATTGGTTCCATAGTTTCTAAGGCAGTCAAGCATTTCCTCATCTATGTCTCCACTTTGCAGTAACTCCCATGTTACTTTGATTATTTATTCTTGTTTGTCTCTTCTGCTCATTTCTAAGTCCCTACAGAGCAGAGTCTATTTCTAATGCATAGAATAGTGCTTGGGTAGGTTTCATCAGGGTCGAATAAAAGAGAACCTGAAAATGAAGTCTCAAGTGTGCTCATTTTGAAAACTGGCAATCCTCCTGGCATTCCCATTCTAAGAGAAGTGCCTGGCCTTGAGGAGATATTTATATGATCTGTGTTAACTGAACTATTTGAATGGACATTGAGTTATATTATGAATGTTTATGCTAAACTGGCAACTCAGAAATAAAAAGTATGCCTTTCTGTGTTTTCCCTTTTTCTACTTTGAGCTTTTGAACAAGTGTAAGGATTGACATGGTAAGGTCCTTAGCTTGTTTGTGGACTGCATAAATGAACCTAATTCAGAAGAAAATACTAATGGGAAGGATAAGGCAGGAGAATTGCCACAAAGTTGAGGCCAGCCTGGACTACAGACTGAGTTCAAGGACCAGCTTGAGCTACCTAGCAAGAGCCTGTCTCAAAACAAAGGAGAATCTAAAGCAGCTGTAACATAGTTTTCTATAATTTTCAGAATTCAAAGTCCACGTAAGTTAGGTAAGTTAAAGTTACAGGTTTTCAAAATCTCACGTTTTTTTTTTTATTATTTTCTTTTTTTAGGAATGTGTGTCATTAGTCTACTTTTTTAGACCACTTATGTTTTATTAGCCCATTCAAGTTTATTCTTAAGAATCAATGACTCTTTTAAGAGGCTATTCTTCTTTCTCTAAAAAGTGAAAGATCATTACCTTTGCCATGCATTGTGTCTTTGTTTGGTGGTCCAGATTGTGGTGCAGTGCTGTAGTCTCCTCATCGAGTCCAGATGATAGTGTGACATTTGAATATTGCATACATTCATATGAATATTGATAGCTGTGATACTTTCATGTGCAATTAGTATTCTGACATACAACTCTTGTGTTTGAAAATTTAGGTAATAATTTCAAGATGCCAGGACGTTCCAGTTCAAATTCAGGTTCAACTGGTTTCATATCCTTCAGTGGTGTAGAGTCTGCTCTTTCCTCCTTAAAAAACTTCCAGTCATGTATCGACTCTGGAATGGACACGGTTTCCAGTGTGGCTTTTGATCTTGTGGAGACTCAGAGTAAGTACAGTAATACTTAAAACTCATTTCTGTGGTGGCATTACTCTAAGAATGCCTTTTCAGTATTCTTGGGACAATTATTTAATCCTCCTGGATAGCTACTTTCCTATCTTACTCTAACATGTCACATAGCTGTGTTCTGAGGCTGAAATGAAGTTGATTCATTCCTGTATGTTCATACAGTTATGTTCCACTTGCAACTGCACTGGAAATTTATGGGCAAAGAGTTGAAAGTTTCTGCTTCAAGGAATATGCAGCCCAAAGTATGTAACACTTGTGTGAATGCTAAGGCTTATAAGTGCATTAGGATGTTATTATTCTCCAGTAGTCTTAAACTTTATATATACTTGATTATCTAACGGATAGACCAGCGATGGCAAACCTTTTAGAAGTTTCAGTGACAGTAAACAGCCTGCTGTGGCATACATGCCACCAGCTCGCCACCACTGAGATAGACAAGTTTGCAAAGCAACCTTGCTGCTGTTTCCAACAGCAAAGGAAGACCTCTGCAAACATGAGAGTCTGATGTATTTTACCGATGTGTTTTTATTTAGAAGATTTGGAAAGATGTTATTCACTTTTTTGGGTTACAGTTGTCTTTATTTCATGTTTTATATGGAGCCAGGGAAGTAACATAATCCTTTTGTTTTCAATGGTACTGCTTTTGAGTAATTTGTGATATGTCTTGATGTGATTTTCTTTGTTTATCCTATCTGATGTTCTTTGGGTTTTATGAATCTGTGGGGTTGTAATTTATATTAAATTTACAAAAGTTTCTGCTGTTGTTTCTTTGAACATTTTTCTTGTGTTCCCATTCTCTTTCTTGGAATTTCAGTTACATCTACATTAGATTGCTTGACATTGTCCCATAAGTCACTGGACCTCCTTTTTTCTAGTCCTTTCACTTTCTGAATTCAATCAATATGAATAGTTTCTGTCACTGTCTCCTATTCATTTGTCTTGTCTTCTCATCTGCTGTTATTTCTGTGTAGTAAATTTTAAATTCAGAAATATGTAGTTTTTTTTTCAGTTGGTGAAGACAGAATTCAATGGAATTTTCTGTTTCTATCTTCATTATGTTTTCCTCTACATTACTAAGTATTTGGAATATATTTATAATAATTTTAATGTTGTGTGCTAATTTGTCTATGTCTACTGCTGCATCTATCTAAGGATATTGCATGTATTGCATCATTTATTGATTGGATTTTGTTTTTTTTCTTTGACGAGTGTTGATATTTGTTTTGAAGCTAAGTGATTTGTGTATTCAGCTGTTCATTTCTAGTGTCGTTAAGCTTTGTTAGTGTGGATCTAATGTAGCCTCATGTTAGGGCTAATTGAGGCCCTTTTCTGAAGTCTCTCTTGATTGCCCTGAAGGTCTGGTATACCTCTACTCTGTTCTTTTTTTTAAATTTTTTTAATCGGTACCAGGGATCGAACTCACGACCACCACGTGCTTGCAAGGGAGGTGCTTATGCTGCTGAGCTAAATCCCCACCCCCTATGGAGGGTGTTGTTCTTTTTTTTTTTTTTTTTTTTTAATACTTCTACTCTGGATGGATAGAATTTGAATGTCTCCCAGTTCTGTGTGAATCCTGGGAATTGTTCACTTTATGGCTCAGACTCAGTGGGGTCCCTGTGCAGATTCCTGGAGCTCCTTTGCCACATAGCTGCCTTCCAGGGCTTTGCTTGTGGACCCCTGCTTCTTTCCCTCCAGTTTCTAGCTTCTTGATCCTTTTGGACTGCTTTGCTCTGCTTGGACTTGTCCTCCCTAGTACAGGTAGGGCAGAGGGCAACTACAGCTTTCATCTCAGTTGTTTCCCCAATTACAGTAACTTTAATAGTCCTGGTTTCTGGGGCCTCTTCTCCCACTGTCTGAAAGCAGTCATGTCATATATGCTGTCCAGTTTTCCAGTCATTCATGGCAGGAAGGCTAATTCCATACCTGTTTTTCATTCATGGCTAATAGAAGTTTCCCATAATCTTTTTAGAGGGTGGTCCTTAATTGTTTTAATTGGGCCTAGCCTACCTGATGGTATATTTTTGGTGATGGTGGGTGTTGGCTTTAGTGATAGGCTGGGGTAATGTCATACTAAAATTTTAAACTATTAGATAGAAGAGCTAGACTATAATTCCTTGGAGGATTATATCAGGTCTTTTAGGCTAGTCAGACTTCTAGGAGTAGAAGAATAAGTGGACAGCTTTCCTTGACTGTAGAATTTAATTCTACATAAACCTGGCCCTGTCTCCATATACTGGTATGTACAGAGCTGGTTAAGCTATTTCGTTCTCCCTTCAGTGGGCTGAAAATAAGGCTAGCTGAGGTACTGATATGTACTCTTTGAGACCAACTGATAACTTTTCTGTTTCCTTGAGTTGTGTTCCCCATAAATAGTTGAACACAGCGGGATGGTAGAGCCATATAGCTTCAGGAATGTCAACTGGCTGTGAGCCTCGACTTAAGAGGCTATGACTTCCCAGGGCACAAAAGTTTACATATCAGAAACTGAAGCAACAGCCCCCTAAAAAACATTCAAATACTACCCTGATTAGGTTATGCAGACTGGTCTTTCTGAATTTCTTTCTTCCTACATATTGCAGAGGTACTTGCTCTCCATCTGGCCAGCTTGGCTCACCTTGCAAACATAATTCCCACCTTTTTCAGTGTCACTTATCCTCGAGGCACTCCCTTTTTTTTGAGATACATTCTGGGGAAGGCCTTGGATCAAGGCCTTTGTCTATGACAAGCCAAAAGCCAACATCATATTAAATGGTCAGAAATTGAAAGCTTTCACTCTAAAATCAGGAACAATACAAGGATGTCCACTATCACCTCTCCTATTCAATGTAATTCTGGAAATAGTAGCCAAAGCAATTAGACAAGAGAAAGAAATAAAAGTAATAATGACAGGAAAGAAAGAAATTAAATTGTCATTATTTGCAGATGACTTGATACTCTACATAAAAGATCACAAAAACTTCACCTAAACTGGCTTCTAGATTTAGTAGCCAGATTCAGTCTCATAGCTAATACAAAGTCAAAATATTAAAAAATTAATAGCATTAAAAAATTAGTAGCATTCCTGTACACAAATAATAAACTCATTGAGAGAGAAATTAAGGAAACTATGCCTTTCCCTAATAGCACTGAAAAAGTGAAATATTTAGAAATCAATCTAACAGGAATTAAACTACAGTATCTGATACAGGAGATCAAAGGGAATATTAGAAAATGGAAAGATATCCCTTACTTTTGGGTAGTGTAATGGTTGGTACTTTGTGTCAATTTGAGAAGTTTAGAAGTTTAAGTGACTCAGCTAGGAGCCAGGGTCCTAACTTTGTAAACACCCTCAGTCTGAGCAAGTGAAGGGCACAGAGGTAGTATGAATGCTACACTTGACCTAGGGTGGGGTAACCTGCTTACAGTGTAGAGGAGAAGAAGAGACCTGCCCCTACTTTTGTTCTTGCTGCGTGTCTTTGTTATGTTTCCCTAACTGCTGAGACAAAAATACTTGATTCCCCAAATGAAGGAAGGAAAGGTTTATTTAGCTTACAGTTTGTGGAGGTCTCAGTCCATACTAGCTGGCTCCAAAGCAGTGTGGTATGGCATTGGGGCAGCAGCTTATGGTGGCTGTGACAAATACCCAAAGCGGCAAGAGTGACGGGGCAAAATAGGAAAAGCACACCTCCTTCCCTCCCTCACACCGTGTGTTGGCTACCCATCCCTTGGCAGGTGCAGCACTCACACTGCCAATTCCAGCGCTACACAATGAACCAATCACAAAACACTGGATTCAGCTGTCTGCATGATTGCATGAGGCTTGGAGAGGACATCCAAACACAAACCAGAATATTGCTTTTGCTGTCTTCTGTCACTTTGAAGTGTTGTCCCTGTGCTATGTCACCCTGCTTTGGAGCCAGCTAATTGTGGACTGAAACCTCCACAAACTGAGCTAAATAAACCATTTCTTTCTTAATTTTGAGTGTTGGGTATTTTGTCTCAGCAATGAGAGAAAAGTAACTCAGACAGGTAGGAAGAACCAACATAGTGAAAATGGCATATTCCCAAAATTGTTATACAAATTTAATGCAATTCCAATCAAAATATCAACAGCATACCTCACAGAACTAGAAAAGACATTCCTAAAATTCATTTGGAGCCAGAAGACACCTAGAATAGCAAAATAATTCTGGGCAACAAAGGCAAGGAAGAGGTCATCACAGTTCCAGATTTGAAATTATATTGCAGCAGAATATGCCCCCTCCCCAGTCAGTTTGTTAGTTGACAGGTAATAATTCCTGTTAAGTTTCCTGTTACTACTGTCTCCTAAAAATGGCTGATCACTGTATGATGCTTAGCTGGTCACTGTGATGCAAATTGTAAAAACCAATCAAAGACAGCTAAGTACTCTGCCTTTTGCTTGCCACTGTAAGTTAAATAAACCTTTCCTTCATTTTGAGCATCAAGTATTTTGTCTTAGCGATTAGGGAAACATAAATCTGACATCAAATCCTGAGTGTGGTTCCATGTTTTTCTTTGCTGTAGCAATAATTCAGAGCTACTGTGATAAAAGCAGCATGGTACTGGTGAAAAAATAGACCTGAGGATAAATGGAACAGATTAGAAAATGTAGAAACAATTCTGAACTCAGCCACCTTATTTTTTTTGGTCTTTTTTATTTTTATCGGTACCAGGGATCGAACTCATGACTGCCTGCTTGCAAGGCAGGCTCTTATGCCGCTGAGCTAAGCCCCTGGCCACCTTATCTTTGACAAAAGAGCCAAACATGTTCACTGGAAGAAAGAAAGCGTTTTTAATAAATGGTGCTGGGAAAGCTGGCTTTCCACATGCTGAAGACTAAATTAAAGCAATGTCTATCACTGTGCACTAAATTACAATAAAAATGAGTCAAAGATCTAAATATTAAAACAGAAACGCGAAGTCTGCTGGAAGAGAGAATAGGTAGAAATCTTGAAGACATAAGGATATAGGCAACGACT